GGATACAGCACTGGAGGCACTGACTTGTTTGCACCAAGAAATTTAGAAAACACCTACCTGGCCAACTGACTGAAAGAAATCCATATTTATGTCCATTCCAAAAAAGGTGAGCCAACAAATGCGAAAATTATCAAACAATATCATTAAGATCACATGCAAGTAAAATTTTGCTGAAGAAAATTGAAAAACAGTTGCAGCAGTACTGTGGTGTATTAAATTACATAGTATGGCTTTTCTAGCATAGTCCTTGTAAACTCTTTGGTGGGATTTGCCATGAGCAACTAAGTAACTCCTGATTGTTAAAGTTATCCACCTGGGGCATTTCTGTTGTGAGGAGCACAAAGCAATTTTCTGGGAAGTTCACACTTTCTCAAGCCAAAAAACCAAACTCACTGCTATCGAGTTGATTGCAACTCATAGTGACCCCTCCCAAGTCAGTATCTCTAGGGAAGTAGATTATCCAATCTTCCTTCCAAGGAGTGGCTGGTGGGTTTGAACTGCCAGTCTTCTGGTTAGCAGTCAAATGCCTTAGGCACTACACCATCAGAGCTCGTGCTTAGGTGTGTGGAATTCTGGTGTTGGGATTGGTTGGTGTTGCCACTCTGCTGGGCTTAAGGTGAGCCCTGCTAGAGGCAGTGGGGAGGAGTCTCTCTGACTGCAGGCTGAGAAAGATGTGCTGCTGAGAGAAATGTACTGCTGAAAGATGTGAGAGAGAGACACACTGCTGAGAGAGAGACACATGCTGCTGAGAGACTGAGAGAGACTGTCAGCTGAGAGACAGCCAGCTGAGAGAGACTGAGTTCCTGAACTTGAATTGTAGCCTGTTGCTTCCCTAACAAACCCCATAATCTGTGGTTCTGTGTGGCCACTGCAGCAAATTATCAAACCCAGCAGAGAGGTGGTGGGTACCACAGGAGGGAGGGTTGATGTCAAGGTTAGTAAGAAGGCTGGAAGGTGGCGGCATGTCTACCCTCATAGGAGCAGGCATTGGGCTGCTGATGGTTATTCTGTCCTCCTCTTGAGTAGTTAGAGGAGGTTACAAGATGTCACCTTTCTGCCCCTTTGGCAAGTATATTGACAAGAAATTCAAGCTGGATTCAGAAAAAGGCATGGGATGAGGGTTATCATTGCTGATGTCAGATGGATGTTGGTTAAAAGCAAAGTATGCCAGAAAGGTATTTACTTGTGCTTTATTGACGGTGCAAAGGCGTTCAGTTGTGTGGATCATAACAAATTACGGATAATATCGAGAAGAATTAGGGAGCTCTGGTAGCGTAGTGCCTAAGGCACTTGACTGCTAACCAGAAGCCTGGCGGTTCAAAATCACCAGCCGCTCCTTGGAAGGAAGGTTGGGCGATCTACTTCCATAGTGATACCAGTTCAGAAACCCAAGGAGGAGTCACTGTGAGTCGGGTCCAACTCGACGGCAAACAACAATAGCATTGAGAAGAATTGGGATTCCAGAACACTAAATTGTGTTTATGAGGAACCTGTGCATAGACCAAGAGGCAGTTTTTCAATCATAACAAGGGGATACTTCGTGGTTTAAAATCAGGAAAGGTACTTCAAGGCTATATCCCTTCACCATACTTATTCAGTCTGTATGCTGAGAAGCTGGACTATAATAAAGAAGAACATGGCATCAGGATTGGAGGAAGACTCATTAACAACCCACACTATGCAGATAACACAACCTTATTTGCTGAAATGAAGAAGCCTTGAAGCACTTACTGATGAACAACAAAGACTAAGGACTTTGGTATAGATTCTACCTCAACATAGAGAAATTTAAAATGCTCACAACTGGACCAGTAAGCAACATCATGATAAATGGAGAACAAATTGAAGTTTAAGGATTTCATCTTACTTAGATCCACAGTCAAGGCCATGGAAGCAGAAGTAAAGAAATCAAACAATGTTTTGCATTGGGCAAATCTGCTGCAAAAGCTCTCTTTCAGAGTTAAAAAGATGTCATTTTGGAGACTAAGGTGCACCTGACCCAAGCTATGATATTTTCAGTAGTCTTATATTCATGTGAGAGTTGGACAGTGAATAAGGAAGTTCAGAGAAGAATTGATGTATTTTGATGGTGGTGTTGGCAAAGAATATTGAATTTACCATGGACTGGTAGAAGGACAAACAAATTTGTCCTGGAGGAAATATAACCAGAATGCTCCTTAGAAGTGAGAATGGCCAGTTTTGGTCTCTCATTGTTGTTGTTGTTGTTGTTGTTAAGTGCCGTCGAGTCATTTCCGACTCATAGCGACCCCATGCACAGCAAAACGAAACACTGCCCGATCCCGCGCAAGCCCCACAATCCCTGCTATACTTGCTTTGGTCATGTTGTTAGAAGAGACCGCTCTATGGAGAAGGATATTATGCTAGGTAAATTAGAGGGTCAGCAAAAAAAGGGAAGACCTTCAACAAGATGGATTAATACATTTGCTGTGATGATGGACTCAAGCATGACAACAATTGTGAGGATGATGAAGGACCAGGCAGTGCTTCATTCTTTTGTACACAGGGTCACTTTGAGTCAAAACCAACTCAATGGCACCTAACAAAAAAAAAAAAAAAATCAAAGCAACAGGCACTGAAAGGCAGTATCTGGCTTTTATAGACATTGTTGATTCAGTAGCATTTATTGGGACCCTGCTCAGCTTCCCCCTTTCTTTATGACTCCAGCATGGACACAGAAACAAACACTTAACAGCACTCTTGCATGGTCTCAGTATATTCTTCCATTGCCATTCCTTGTTGGCTCCTTATGTGCTGCCTGCCTTCTGTGGTCTATTTCCCTTACTAAACCTACCATCTTCAACTGTGCTATGGCCCCAGGACACCACTCAGTCTTGACAATTAATTTGGGCCTGTTGTTTGATAAACTCTTGTGAGTAATTTCATTTGGCCCAAATTATCATCCAGGCAGTAAACAGATTGCCTTATCTTGTGGACACTGTTTCCACTCAACCCTTGGGTTCATTATTTATAGTTTTTGTAAGTAATGCAGTCGTCATCTCAGTTAATGTTCTTCCATTCTCTTTCTCCCTAACCTTCTTGCATTTGTTAAGAGACTGTTACAAAGCACCAGCTTGCACTCTGCTCAGCAGTCTTACTATTCCAGGAGTGATCCAGTGTCATGTCCCTGCAGAACCTGTTTGTCCTTAATACATACAACTAGCAGAACTCAGAAGGCTCCTTGATCGCACTAGCACAGAAAGATGAAGTGTACACCTGGTCCTTCTCTGCTCTAATCAAAGCAGCCTAATTGGAAAACACCACATGCTAGTTCATCACAAAAGGAATTCTAGTCCCTTTCTTATAATTCCTCTTTATAAAATGTTCAATCCTATGTACACAAACTTTTGAGTTTGTCCTGTTTTAAAGTTCTGCATTATGTTTCCTTTGGGCTGGTTTCTCAGATCCCTTTACTGATGTATAAGAACATCTTCCATCCCTAATGACCTTTTATGTCCACCTGGCTCCCTAAACTCCTGATCCCTGCCCTCATGGCCACACTCCGGTCATAAATCACAGTCCCCAGCTGATGCCCTCCAATCAATCAGGACCTTTCCCCTGATCTCTCATCATATCATTGTGATGCCCTCAATTTAGTACACTACCAATTTTACCTCTTGATCACTCAAGTCCTCAGCTGATAATGCTGACCCTTAGAGGAGCTTCCAACATGCTCACCAAATATTTCAATCACAATTCCCCAGAAGAGCCTTCTCTCCTGGAAACTTCTAAATCCTCAATTTATGTATGAAGTAGTACCTACAGACCACGGACTCAAATATACTAATGATCGTGAAGATGGCACAGGACCAGGCAGCATTTCACCCTGATGTACAAGGAGTCACCATGAATAGGAGTCAACTCATTGGCAACTAACAGCAACAGCCCACAGGTCATGTTCAGTCCTATTTTGATTGACATGCGCTGAGTTTATGTCTTTATTTGAATACCTTCAAATGGGATTTGTGTTTTTAATATGCTCAACATGTTTCCAACAATTTCCTATGTTCTTACATCTGGCTAGTTTTGTTACTTTGTATAAACTAGCTAAATATTTATCCCATATCCACTTCCACCCCCTTTTTGTCTGCTTGGCCTGATCCTTTATTTCTGTAGATTTCTCACCATCTAGTGGAAGTAGCATCCTTAATTCTTTGCTCACGATATTAATCCTTCTTTCAGACTCATCTTGCAATGAGCTACTCCCTTCCAAAAACCCTCAGTGACTCTCTAATGGCTGTGCTCTTTCCTATCTGCAGGCCTCTGATCATTAAATTTGACTTCATAGTGAAATCATTATCCCACTTGAGTCCTTATTTCATGTCTGGGAGCATAGAAGTTAAATCATTGTCTCTGTTTTAAAATTTAAAAAGACCATAGAAAGATCTAAAAATAGTCTAGCCTCAGTGTTTCATGTATCATTGTCTTGTCTTTAGTTTCTGAAAGGAAAGTATTTCCCAACCTTGCCTTTCTCTACCTTTTCTGTTGTGTATAAGAATCCACACCTACTCAACACTCCTAACACCAATTGTCTCTCACCCTCCAGCAGGCCCTGCTCCCCACACACTCTCACAAATCACTAGGAGAGTATTATCATTGGTCTGCTGTATGCTTTTCCAAAATAATTGTCATTCATACTTGAAATAAAGCCTATTAAAGTAGTGCAAGCTACTGTATAAGATTTTTGCTAACAGTTTAATCAAAACATGGACAAAAATTTAAGATAATATGTGCATGTGTACCAAATTTGCCAGTTGTACAGAGAGTCATTTAATTTGCTGGGAGCACTTTCTTGGAGCCTGAATTTGAGAATTACTTTTCCTCTGTTGGACCAATAGATCAATTATTTAAAAGAGTCGATCCTCTGTTATAAAGAAGAGTTATGACCTCTTTTATATGGAGTTCAAGAGACCTGGAGGGTTTTATTGAAATGCACAAAATCTACATAAGCACATATATGTTTTTATTTTTTAACTTTATAGGAAATCAATGTGTTGACAGTTGCATTGGTCAACCAAGATCGAGAGAACAATATTGAGAAAAGAAGCCAAGGCTTAAAATCAGAGAAAGAAGCTCTGCTAATAGGTAAGGAAATTCTGTTTTCCTAATCTGTCTTATAAATAATTCTTAGCTAATTTACTTAAATAATATTTAAGTAATTCACCTCCAATTTGTTAATAATTAAAAAACTTTTACCTTCCACCCAGAGGTGAGATTTACTTGGTCCAGGTTATTACATATATATCAAATTAGTGCAGTTCAGACAAATGAGGTTTTGCTCTTCTTTAACCATATGTTTGTTGATTGTCTGGCATAAAACTGAGTTCAAAAGAAAGATTAATTTTCATCTCGCATATTAAACCCACTGCCTTGGGTCAGTTCCAACCCATAGCAACCCTGTAGGACAGAGTAGAACTGTCCCATAGGGTTCCCAAGACTGTAAATCTTTACAGAGGCAGTCTGCCTTATCTGTCTCCCACAGAGTGGCTATTGGGGTAGAACTCCTGATCTTTGGGTTAGTAGTTGAGTGCTTTAACCACTGTACCAGCAGAGCTCCTTCTTTCACCTAATATAGATCTAAATTTTGAAACACCAAAATATCACTATCAGCCTGAGATGAGGTTGGGTCCAGTTCTAAAGTCCCAAACCAGGTCATATCCCCAGGTCCAAAGCACCATTGAATCTCAAAATCATGTCTAACTCACTAAAGCCAGTAAACTGATGGCCACTGAGTTGACATCAAATCATGGTGACTCCATTGTGTTTCAGAGTAGAACCATGCTCCACAGAATTTTCTATGGTTGAGGGTTCTTAAATTGGATCACTAGGCCTTTCTTCCACGGTGCCTTGGGACAGAGTTGAACCGTAAACCTTTCAGGTTAGCAATTGAGTGCTTAACCGTTTGCACCACCCAGGGGCTCAAATTCTAAAGTCAGTCCCAAGGTCAGACCTTAATGCAGATGGTATTGGAGCATCCAGCATAATGCAGGACCATCTAATTCAGGCTTCCCTGTCCAAGACAAATAAATATACTGGCCATTAATGAAGGAGAGAGAAGAAGGAAGTTAATATTCCCCTGTAAACATTCATTACCCCCACAAAATACATCTAGGTTAGCTTTTTCTTTGTCTGGATCAGAGAGAAAGCTCTAAATATTCTCTATAGTCAATGGCAAAACCAAAAGAAAACAAACCCACTGCCATTGAGTTGATTCCAACTCATAACAACCCCCATTGGTTTTCTGAGGTAAATCTTTATGGAAGTAGATTGGTCAGTCTTCCTTCCATGGAGTAGCTGGTGGGTTTGAACCACCAACCTTCTGGTTAGCAGTCAAATGCCTTAGGCACTATGCCACCAGAGTTCCTTAGTCATTGTCAGCCGGTCCAAAAGTAGTACTGTACTGTTCTCACATGGAAGCATTCTCAATGGGGATGTGTTGGTGATGTGCCTGCTATCCTACCTTAGAGACTGTTGTTTCTGTCTCTGAAGTCTTTATACTCAGAGAAAGGGAAGCCATTCCCTCACTCTGGGATGCATAACACTGACCCCAGCTGCCCCTGGCACTGTCTACAGTGTGGGGTTCTAAGTTTAGAAGAGCCCCTCTGAGGCATGGTTGAGAGTGGAGAATGAGGCCATTGTGACTGTTAGACACATTGTTTTTCTGGAGTTAGTTATCTGGCAGAAGGAGTATCTGTTTGCATTTTCTAAATATTGCATGCATTCCCTTCAAAATGACAGGTACACCAGAGCCTTTAGAAGCTGGCACAGAAGGAATTAAATTCAAAAGATAGTCCAAACTTCATCCATCATATATAGATTTTTCAACTACAGTGTTATTGAATATGACATCAACTTAGAGATACTCCGAGGAAAACCAATTATTTTTTCTCTCTGATGATATACAGCTGTGGTAACGTGCCATGCACAAGTCTCATAAGACATGCTGATGTGATATCTATGCCAGGAACCCAAAATGAGCCCATATGTAGTTGGTAACTGGTTTATTCATCTATTGGAAAATGTGTCAAACTCTGACAACTGTTTTCATTTCCCTTAATGTGGCAAAGATGTGATTTCACCTATAATGCTTTTAGGGTATGAACAAAGATCATAATAATCTGCAGGAAACTTTCCCTCTGTGTTTAAGTCTGAACAATATAAACCACTTGAAGTTTTTGGTTTTTTTTAAATGGTAGAGGTTCTCCAGTTTCTTTATTTCCTTCCTCTCAATATAGATTTTATCCTCTTTTATGTATTTCTTGGAGAACATAGTTCATGTACAATGTCTTCTAAATAGTTATTAAGTTATATAGATGTATATGTGTGTATAGGAGCTCTGGTAGCATAGTGGCTAAAGCACTTGACTGCTAACCAGAAGGCTGGTGGTTCAAACCCACCAGCCACTCCTCGGAAGGAAGGTTGGGCAATCCTACTTCCATATGATACTGCCTCAGAAACCCAAGGAGGGGTCGCTATGAGTCGGGGCCAACTCGATGGCACATAACAACAACAACAACAACATATGTGTGTATAAAGGAGCTCTGGTGGTGCTACAATTAGTTAATGTGTTGGATTGCTAACCAAAAGATTTGTGGTTCAAACCCACCAGCTGATCCATGGGAGAAAGACAAGGCAGTCTGCTTCTGTAAAGATATACAGCTTTGGAAACCCTATGGGGGTCACTTTGAGTTGGAATCGACCCAGTGGTACTGGATGGGTATAGATAGATATCTAGATTGCTATAGTTAGATAGATAGGTAGATAGATGGATAGATAGATAGCTATTTCTAGAGAGATAGATACATATGTGTGTGTATGTATATGTGTATATATATGTGTGTGTGTGTGTGTGTGTGTATTTTTTTTTTAATCAGCTACCTCCAAATTTTAAAAATATGTTTTATACACTGTAAGGGGATGAAAGTATACAGGAGGTTACACTGATAACATCCACTTCTGCTGAGGTCTTCAGGATTAGAAAAAAATAATGAAATTTGATCATTCAAATGTATTAGAAAGAAAAATATTAGTAAGTAAAGGATCCTCAAGAACTCTGGTAGCATAGTGCCTAAGGCACTTGACTGCTAACCAGAAGGCTGGTGGTTCAAACCCACCAGCCACTCCTTGAAAGGAAGGTTGGGCAATCTACTTCCGTAGTGATACTGCCTCAGAGACCCAAGGAGGGGTCGCTATGAGTCAGGGCCAACTCAACAGCACATAACAACAACAATAACAAAGGATCTTCAATAAAAAATAGGCAGAACCAACTCTAAATTTTCCATGACTTTCTCCCTGTTAGTCATTGAACTAGTCTACCTATATTAGCATTTGGAGTTCAGGGTTGAGTAAGAGAGAAACAGGAAGTGACACTCATTTTTAAGCAATATATGAAAATGTTTAGATAGAAAGGAAGCTGGAGATTTAGGTTGTTTATTAAAATAAACCTAGGAGTTTAATATTTTCCTTCATTTCTATACTCTCTCTCTAGTTGTCTCTGTATTTTACACTACTTAATGAAAGTTTTACCACCAGTGTGAACTCTCGCCCAGATCTATCTCCATAGTACCTATGTATTTATACTCTTTTGTAGAAAAGAGAGAATAATCTTCCAAAAGAATGCCATAGTGAAGAATAGTTTCCAAGACTGACAAAATGGACTCTTCTAGGATGTAACTAATCTTTCCTTCAAATGTGCCTCCTTGCTAATTGAATTTGGCCATTTATACTTTCTACATACCTGAATGTTGGGATCATAAAGATCCCTCCTGAAGCTTCTGGAATCTAGACTATGTTGTTGTTGTTGTTGTTGTTGTTATGTGCCGTCAAGTCGGACCCAACTCATAGCAACCTCTCCTTCAGTTTCCAAGGCAGTATCACTATGGAAGTAGGTTGCCCCATCTTCCTTCTGAGGAGTGGCTGGTGGGTTTGAACCACCAGCCTTCTGATTAACAGTCAAGTGCCTTAGGCACTACACTACCCAGTATATAGTTTCAAAACTGCCCTGGGCCAGGCTACAGAAAGAAAGCAGTTCCTAGAGTCAGGGCATTCCTGTTCTGAATTGTACAGGAAGAATGCCTGTAGGTACAAGGATTCTGGGAGACCTTTGGACTCCTGATACCTCTGGAGGGGTCAATAATACTCTTTGCAATTCCCCTTAAATCTGCCTTTGGAATAATTAATCCAGAAAATACAGTAGGCCTGCTCTAAGCCAGTCTAGAAGGCCGGGAGAACAGTAGAAAAATTTTCCTCCACTTGGAAATATTAATTTGCAAAATCTTCATAATTTCTGGGTATCTGCATTAGATGCTAAATCCCAATATATTCATATGTCTCAACACCCTCTTGGGGCAAATAAATATTATATAAGAAATGTACATGGCACAGATCTTGATTCTGTGAGAAGGAAGGGGAGAGAGAAATAAGCTATTCAAATGGATTCTAGAACTGAGACTAGAACACCTTAAACAGTAAGCAGTCCTGGTTATTTGTGATTTTTTTGTGACACTTATTCATCTAGGAAAACGTATGAATTCTTTTCAGACATTCTCATGATGATTTATAAAATTGCATTCTTTATTACATACAAGGCACACAATTTGGGTATCCAGTGCACAAGATCAGTGGGAGTTCAACCATTCTTGACAACTAACTGGGATTGGGTGCTGGGTTCCAACTCAGCTAAAGAAAATAGGCCCTTAGAAAGTACTTTATTGTGATTTCTGAGCTTTTTACTTTGAAATCAATCCTTGTGAAGATCTGTTGACATACAGTCGGATCTAAAAGAATACGATTTCCACGAGGCATTGCAAAGTAGCTTTTTATGTCTCAGAGCTCTGTAATAACCACAGGTTAGGTCAGTTTGACAATGCCAGAACTCCTAGTTCATTTCACATATAGCCCGCATTTTGGATTCAGCCTGCAGTGAAGTTATATGGGATATAATGAATCAATACTTTTGATTTAGGGCCAAGGCTTTGGAGCTATTTTTGGCTCAGAAACCACTGGGTATTTTCATGAAGGAAAATGGCTCAATTTTTTTTTTTTTTTTTTGTTAGTAGGTTAATATTTCTAAGTAGATGTTGCTG